TCCGGCTTTCCTGGCGGCCTGCAGAGCTGAGGCCGGGCGCCCAGGGATCATGGCGCTGCGCGCGGCAGTGTTCGACCTGGACGGGGTGCTGGCGTCGCCTTCCCTCGCCGGCGCCCTGGGCCGTGCCGAGGAGACCCTGGCGCTGCGGAGGTAAGCGCCGCTGGCCCTGCGTGGGAGCCCACTCCTGCCCGGCTCCCGCGGGTTCTTCCTGCGGGGGGAGGACTTGCCCTAAGGGTTAACATTTTGGAAGTTCCAAGACTTGTTTATATTGCTTTAGAGAGAAAAAAACAAACACGAAAGAGCTTAAAATAATTACCCAACCTTTAAAACACCAGGGTTTATACATTAATCGCATTTTAATAACCTGTAATCTTTTAAATGCAAAGTCTAAAACGTTGCTAACTCCAAGAGTGTCCTTTCTTTTGGACGGTTTCCTAAATGGAGGAAATCACTGCCTCCTGCCTGAGCCTTGACTTAGAAAGGGGAAGAATTGGGACCTTGAAGGTTTTGTCCCCATTAACCCAATGGGGAGAGGGGTTTTACTCTGCAGTTAGGTCTTGGAACCTCACAGGGGCAAAACGCCCGTGCTAAAGGGTCCCGCCGAGTTGACATGGCCTCCAAGACTGTGAGGTTTTTTGTTTGTTTGTTTGTTTGTTTTGGAACAAATTATTTCTCGAAATGGAATTTCATTTAAAGAGACCTGCTGAGGTCTCCAATAGAAAAAAAATATGTGCACCTCCACGAACCTTCCTTGTCCAGAGACCAAAAACACTGGATGATGTCTGGCTACCATGACTGAACCTATTGATGCAACTGCAAAGTCAGTAGTTCAAACCCACCTTGGGAGAAAAATGAGACTATCTGCTTTTGTGAAGATTTATATCCTTGGAGCCATATATTCACTGTCACCTGCCCTATAGGACAGGGTAAAACTGGCCCAGTGGGTTTCCCAGACTGTAACTCTTTAGAATAGTAGAAAAGCCTGTCTCAGCCCACAGAGTGGTTGGTAGTTTCAAAGTGTTGACGTTGAGGTTAGGAGACCAGAATGTAGCCACAGTGCCACCAAGGCTCCTCGGGACCATGTTTGAGGTGCAGTCGGTTGAACGGGGTATTCCGGCAGTGGGTTAGTTCCATAGAAAAATCCTGGTTAAAAGGGGAAAATGCGGAAAAGAATTGCAAACTTCACATGAACGTTATGGATCCATGAAGAATGGTTGAACTCCTGAAATTATTGCCCTGAAAAAATCTTTAAACTTTGAAACAAAAGCACCTCTGGAGTCTTCTTATAACTGAACAACAGTTCAGTTTCACTGATAAAATAATGCTCTTTGAATAATATATATATAGGGTCAAATTCTCAACAGCACCTGGAAACATTAGCTGGGAAGCCGTGAGTTTATGTTGATGAGGGAGGCATAACTCAGCAAAAGTCTGCACTTGTTGGAGAAGAATGTAGCCCACCGCTACCAGGTCCACATTCTGTCTCACAGCCATGCTATAGAGCATTTCTGAGCCTGGACAGCTTTCCAAGAGCCCAAAGCCTCATCTTTCTCCCAGGGAGCTGCTGGTGATTTTAACATGTGATAAGCAGTCTAACCATTACTTATCTGTCAGTTTGTTATACTGTGGTGGTTTGTGTGTTGCTGTGATGCTGGAAGCGATGTCTCGGGTGTTTTATATGCCTACAGGATCTCCCAAAGGGAGCAGGTTTCAGGGGCGCTTCAGACTAAGAACGGATAGCAAGGAAGGACTTGGCTCTCCACTTCAGAAGAAGGAGCCACATGAACACCTTCGTTTGGAACATGGTAAACCGTAGTTGCATAGTTTGGAACATCGTCTGATACGGAAAGAAAACCTGCCTCGTGAGGGAAAGCTGAACACAGTTGGAGATAGGCCCCTCAGGTCCCAGGGCACTCACATTGTTCCTGAGGAGAAGCTGCTCTCTTGGAGTGAAGTCCACCATGGAGACCTGCATTAGTTAGAACCTATGGGAGTGGAGCCTCTGGTATCTTCTTTTGCTTATGGGACATGACTCAAGCTGAGGAGAAGCAGGTGCAAAGATCTGCTACTAATCTGAACTTGGAGGCACAAAAAGTATGAATCTAGGAAGATGGAAGGTCTCAAAAATGAACCGGATCACAACGATTCGAATAGTAGGCATGAGTGAGCTGAAATGGACTTGTATTGCCTATTTTGAGTCAGAAAATCATATGATTTAATATGGAATATCACAATCAAGAGGAATGGCATGGCATTCATTGTCAAAAAGACGTGGCGACATCAATCATGAACAATTCTATGAACAAAATATCGAATGCTGCAGAAAGCATTAAAGATGATGGGGAAAATGTACAGAGCCACTGCAGCAAGAAGAACAGGTCAACATCCAACCATTCGAAGAGACAGCACATGCTCAAAAATGGATGGTACTCAACGAAGTCTGAGTTGCAATCAAGACATTAGCAAAAAACAAGGCTCCAGCAATTAATAGATGAGCCAATGGAAATGCTTCAACCACTGAAGCATCACTCGCTCATCTATGCCAAGAAATTTGGAAGACAAATACCTGGCCAACCAACTGGAGGAAATAGATGTCTGTGCCTATTCCTAAGAAGTGTGACCCAAGAACTAGTAAGGCAGATAATGTCTGCCACCATGTTGATGCTAACTCATGGTGACTAAACAGGATGAAACCTTGCCCATTTCTGGGTCACGCTTATGATTGCTAGCAAGTTCAAATCTATTACTCTAGCTACTGTGTCAACTCATTCCATGGAGGGTCTGTCTGACCCTCACTTTCTCTCTGTCTCACCAAGCACAATGTCCTCTTCGAGCCTTCGATACTCAGGATGATGGGTCCAAAATACGTGAGTTTGACAGTGTTTTGTTGTGATTCCTAAAGCTGGTTACTTTTAGAAAATAGATTAGCAGGCTGTTCTTCCTAATCTGTCATAGTCTGAAACCTGTCCACCCTGGGTGACCTGGCTCGTACTCGAAAGAGTGGTGGCATAGTTTGGAGCATCACAGCACCATGTGAGCCACCGCAGTGTGACACACTGATAGACAGGTGGTAGAAACTGGTAAGAGGGAAGACGAGAACTGCCAATAAGTTCTGGTCGTTTGGGAGCTTGGAGGCATGGTAGTGTGGAAGGATACTGATGCTTGGCCACCGTGGAGATGAAGGAAGTTGGAACCAAAGAGAAGATGTTCTTGGGCCAAGAAGATGAACCTCGTCTGCTGGGCCCAGGTGAGGACTAAAGGACACCTGTATGTCTAGTGCTAACCTCATGAAAAGAGGCAGGGGGAGGATCTTGAAGGTCTCTAAGCGGGTGCAGGTGGTCCACGTGGCTGGAATGAAAACCAGAAGTGAGGGCATTGCTAAATGAAGGTGGACCAAGAAAATATAGTCTTTTCTGTTGTTATACAGGGGAGGGAAAGAGAAACTCCACTGTGGTTTGTGATCATCCAGACCAGTGTTCACAGAGGGCAAAAGTGTTGGAAATGGTTATTACCTTTGGTCAGAGATTGATGGAAGCTGGAGTTATAGGGCAGTTTCCTAAGAAACAAATCTGATTTTAGGCAGTAGTGTGTTAGTCCGAGTTGACCAGAGAAACAAATCCATAGACACTCATATGTGTATAAGAAAGAGCTTTATATAAAAGAGCAATTTTATATTGAGCAAACGTCCCAGCCCAGTCCAGATCAAGTCCATAAGTCCTATATTAGCCCGTATGTTCAATACTACTCCATAAATTCCTCTTTAGACTCATGCAGCACATGCAATGATGCTGAATGCAAGAAGATCATAGGCCAGGGGGTAAAAGGTCTTGTGGATCCAGTGGTAGTGGAAGCATCTCAATGCTGGTACAGGCCTCCACAAGTCTCTTCCAGCTCTCTGAGTATCAGGAAAGGGAAGGCAGAGAGAGTGGATCTGGCCTCCAGGGAACTATTTATCTCCATTGTGCTTCCAAATGAGGTCATCAGCTGCAACCTGACTGACAGGCTGGACTTCATCCCTTTGCTCAAGTTGACAGGAGATTATGTAACTGGCACAAGTACGTATTACGTACTTTATACCAACTGAGACAGCTTCATTATAGTGGGTCTAGTTAGCTGCCATCAAGTCACCTCCAATTATGGTGACCTTATTGCCATCAAGTCAATCAACCCTAGAAGACATAATAGATCCACCTTTTGGAGTTTCTGAGACTGCATATATTTACAAGTGTAGAAAGCCTCATCCTCTCCCATGGAGCAGCTGGTGGTTTGAACTGCTGACTTTGCTGTTCGCAGTGCAATGGGTAACTGACTGTGCCACTCAGACTCTTTGACCTCATATGTATCAAAAGAAAAATTGTACCCCAGAAAGTTTTCAGTGTAGATCACTAGACCTTTCTTCCAATTGCCTCTGAACCTCAAGTCAAAATGTGGGGAAGAGAGCATATATGTTTCTTAGGATATGTTTTCATTTCTCTTGATGGTTAAATAGGGAGGAACAACCTTCCATGGCACCTTTCAGGGCACACATGTGGCATCATTGAAGATATGAATGCTACAGCAAAGTGTGGTGAAGAGAGTAGATGGTGTCCAGCTATCAGAAACAATCTTGTCTAAATACACAGCCATCAAAGTGAGACATCAACTAAGTCTGCATGGAATAATCACACCAGCCTGTGTGATCCAAGGTTGATAAAGAATGAAATCCAAATCCAAAGGATAAAATTATATCAGAGCTTAAATTGTGAACACTTGGTTGGAAGAAGGCTATGGTTGACAGGGGAGCTCCAAATCAATTTGCAGGGTCCAGACAAGGAGTTAAGCTTCCAGTGAATTCCCTGTGAGATTCCATCATTGAGAGATGTGAACCGTCTTGCTAGCAGACAGAGAGCATTGTCAACTCAATTATGGCAGGTAAAGTTAGGTCAAAATATAATACCTTATCATTTAATCTCTCTTTTCATCCATTTTAAAATTGCTTCATTACAAAAAGGGTGGGTGAGAATACATGCACATGAAGCTTCTGCTGAGTCTCCTCTGGCCACAGCCCAGGAGTGTGAATTGCTTTGCTGTGGTGCAGTGTGCCATGAGAAGGAGATTGTTGCAGAACCTGTTTGGTTAAAGTCTAACACCTTATCCTTTCATTGCCCTTT